GGCCGAGCCCAGCACAGGTTCTCACAAAGGGGTGCAGGAGAACACCTGCTTAGTCCTCGAGCTGTCAAGACACTGACACACACGAAGATCTATTGAACTAACTAGAGGTGTAACACAAAGTTTTCACCCTTTGTAACAGAAGCTACAAGAAGTCTGTCATGTTTCATTATCTGTGAAATTGCTTTTGAAACTAGATTTTTATGTGTTGTAGATGAAGATTTACAAGCTTCCAATGAAATGTACATATTAGCACAATATACTTCAACACACTACTAATATTGTACCAGCTTAAGTCCTCAAATGATAAAGCATAGTTAGTGTTTGAACCCCGCCTTCAAAATAAGACAAAAAAACAGTATCACTAATCTGAAATAAAAGGTAATGGTCAGTGCGAGATGTAATGGGAACCATTAACAGATGAAAAAGAGAACGTCTGAATATTTTTGGACTATAATGGATGGTTTTTCTCACAAAATGAAATGTATATAATGAGAAGAGGTGGTTGATGAAGCTGGTCTGAAGTGTTGTGGAAAAACTGTCCACAAGGTCATACTGCATAATAAAATAATGGAGGTTGTGCTTACAATGGCAGAAGGTCCGGTTGAAAGTTGGTATGAAGTGTGTATGAAAAAGAGCTATTGAAACCTTGCGGGCACTTCGCATGTGCATTTTGAATCTATAAAATTCAGATTTTTTGCATCTGTTCGGACTGTATAAGGTCTACATATCTGAATGATATATGTGTATTCTTTTACATGCTTAGTTCTAACAGGTCACACATTCAGAAGCCTTTCTGTGGTCTGAAAATCCAATTGTCTTTGCGGTATGATAAATATTTTTGGTGTGCATCCTTACATAAGTGAAAAAGATGTGTTTTTGTCAGCTCCACATTCTTTTCAAATGAAGACATAATTTATATGCTTGTTGACGTAAAAATGGATTATACAACTTTTAAACAACCCATGACAAACCACTGGGATATAATCCACAACAGAAACAGAGAGTTCTCCACCTATCACACACACACACACACACACACACACACACACACACACACACACACAAACAAACAAACACGAGCCCTTCCTTCTTTACCTCCATTGCCACAAGCTAAATTCCTCAATTCATTAGAGGAGAAAAACACACAGTCCAACACTCTCATACATTCATCTGGTAAATGTGGCCTGAGGAATAATGATTTACTGTGGCTCATATTTCACCTGAGTGCACAGGGCAAACAGTTGACTGAAGTGTTGTGGAGAAAATGCTAACAGAGGCATTTTCGACTGGAGCAACTGGACAGACACCGTTTTGTGCTGTTAGTGCGAGTGTTTTTGTATGTTTGGGTAAATGTAATATACATAATATTCGACTACAGTATGCAGTAAAAAGAATATAAAAGCCATTTGAAATCTGCAAGCACAGAATTCCTACTTGTTTCTAAAGGTGCATAAGTCAGTGTGTGCACAGATATTGTGCAGTGTATCTCCAGTGGCGTAAAAGCCCTGGCTTTATGGAAGCCATTAAGAATAAAGTTACATTTTAAAGTGAATAATCATGTTTTGAGGCTCACCCATATGGCTGAACAATATGGGCTCTGTGTTCACACAGTGGACTCCTTTCTGTCTGTGCAGGAGTGAAGCCAGCACAGGTAGGGCCAGCATCAAATCAGTCTCAGCTGCCGCCCTGCCTCGCCCTGTGTTCTCCTCCTAAAGAGCTTCCACTTATCTGCCTGCCACAGGACCGTCTGTGTGCACCCCGGCCACTGTCACGTGGACACCGTTCTCAAATCGATTGTGACAGTGCACAAGAGTCCTGATTTTTCCTGCTTCAGAACTCGAGCAGCCATTTTGACGCTCGCCAGTGTAACGTTGAACAGTTTTTTTCTCTCTCTTCCCTTCTCACTTATTTTTACTTATTTATTTATTATTTTCTTTAGCAAATTCCAATTCCGATGAATACAGTGTGTGTTCCAATTTAGTAACTACATATTTTCCTTGAGTTTGAGTTTGATGCTTGAGCCCCCACCCCACCACCATCACCCCTCCCCCTCCCCAACAGGGGGCTGGGAGACTGGCAGTCAGCAGGGAAACTTAAACAGCTCTGTTGAGAATGAAGCCCACAGAGCAAGCATGCAATAGAGAGCAACTTTATAGGAAACTTTGTACTATATTTGCACGTTTGACACAATGTATATATGTATATTTAAATGCCTACATATTTATATATAAGCTTATGCTGGACAATAATATAAAGGGATCATAAGTATTCAGGTTTTGCTTTTTTTCCAAGAGAAAAATTTCTTTGAGCTGTATAATTATAAGTGTCGACTCAAGTATCCACGTCTAAAATCGTTTTCTCTCTCTCTCACCCTTTCTCCGCGTCTCTCCCTCCCTCGTGCACTCCTCCTTGCACCTTGCCTCCTATTATCTGCTACTTTCCTGCGGTTTGGAGCCCTTCCAGCTGGCCTCCCTTTCTTGCGCTGTGGTTTTGTTCAGGAGATTTCATCTCTCTCCTCATCATTCCTGCAGATTGACAGCTAGGCTCAGGTATGAAAACAAACAGCTCTGGAATTGACTGGTGAAAAGAAATCCGCTGCTAATGCTCCTTCACAAACTCTCCTTTTTTGCCTGCCCTCGTTGATGCTAAGCCGTGGCAGCATACGAGGAGAGGTGATAGAGATTTGAAATCATTAACTACTAACAACACCATTCTACATGTCTGGCTTAAGCCCCCTGCCTCCACTGGATTATTGCTCTTGTTTCTACTGACTCTTTAAACCTAAAAACATGTCTTCACCTCAGAAACAGCATGTTATTTAGCCAAACACACACATGACAATGAGCTATAATTATGGATGTACCATCTGTAAGGGGTAAATGGTTGGTTGGGTTAGCAGACCTTGAACAGCAAATCTCTGATGTTGCTGATACTATTGTTTTGTTTTGTTTTGTTTGTTTACCGTACGTGCGTGTTCACTTCAACAGGATAAAGTATCGAGGGCATGTTTCAACACAGCGGCAGCAAAAGAATGTCTTCCCTTTCATGGGTAGAGCCTTGGGTCAAACTCTGTCACACCTATTGTTTTGCATTTTTATTTGATTTCTAAGTAAAAGACAAAATGACTTCCTCACCAGTCAGATTCCAGCACTCCCCTCCGCAGTAACACATTTACTCATCTTTAAAGGTTTTGACAAAAGGTAGCCTACAAGGTGCTTGGTATATTTGGTTAAGGAATCGGTGAGAGATCAGGACGCGATCTGCAAGGCCACTCTGCCAGTAGGCACTGTCGTCTTTATCTGAATGTTGGTCTTTATTCTCTACTTTCTTTTATTGGTCTAGAACCTACAGGCATGTTTGCCTTTTGTGCCTATTTTAACCTAACAATTAATAGGACCTCTGATTCATCATAACCCTTTAGATCTTAATCATCAGGTGTTTTCTGCTGGGTACCTTTGTTTGTGCTTTAATTAAGTGGACCTTGTGCGTTTCCAACCCTGGGCATCTTTTTAATTGCCCGTATTTACATCAGGCAGACATCAAACGCGGAGAGAGAGACATTTGTAAGGGGGAGCACAAAGAAGCCCTTTGAAATGTCTACAGTCATATGGAATGGCATGCTAATTAAAAATCTAAGGCTGCCACTATGATAGGAGAAAGAGGTGACTGTGGTGTATAGACTGTCTCCATAACTCATCAACACACAGAGGCCATAGTGTTTATTATCAGACTCCCTACCTGTTTACAAACTACCTAGTAACCTTCCCTTTCCCATTCATCAGAAGAAATGCCCTGCCTGTAATTTAACAGACCAGCTTTCAAAAGGCTAAATCATTTTCAACATTTTACCCAGTGCACTTTGATCTACAGCGGCATACAGTACACCAGGGCAGGTACAATGAATCTAGTCTACCGAGCAATGATTTATCCTTGGGTTCATTAAGGTTATTGCCAATGAATATACTTATTAGAACATTCAACTGCCTTTTTTTCCGCTCCTCTGCAAGTGGAGAAAGTGTAATTCAATAATTAAAACCAAACACTAGTTTTATTTATGAATGTTTTATAAAAAGAGAAACAATTAAGCAAATGATCAAAATCACCTGCACAGCTGCAGAAATTCTGTAACTCCTTTTACAGCTTTGTGCGTGACAGGTTAATTAAAAAAGAAAATAATGTGTTTTATATTGAGAATACACCGAATTCATATTGTATGGATGGGTTTTTTAAGAAATCTGAAAACCTTGTGGATGACTCAAGAAGTTATCTGATGAGGAGAACGTGCAAGGGGAGCGTGCAGGATCCAGTGTAAGCCTGGTGTTATCAGCCAGCTGGTATTGTGCTTCCCTGTGCTGTATAAACACAGCAGCTCTCAGTAACAGTCAGTGCTAAGGACTGAGCAGCAGCCCTGCCCATCTTCGGCCCACCTCAGGAACACAGATTTTTGGGGGAGTGCTGAGTTGCTGCACTTGATGCGCTGTGCAGGGCGTTCACTGTCAGAGTCGAGACATTTCACTCAAACACAGGCTCAGCGGCTGTGAGTCTGTGTGTCCCTGCTCCGTCTCAGAGCGGCTTCTCTCCTCTGAGCTCATCCGTGCTCTGTTTACATCAAGCACACTTTGGCTACAACAATTACCAGAGCGGCATGAGCGCTCCGCATGTGCCAGAGCAGAGTAGCCGGGCTCAGGGCCGTCCGGAGGGACAACAACAATAATCTGCTGACAAGCACAGACCACCTCCGAATTGGTCTAAAAGGCTGGAATTTTGAAGACAGCACTTTGGACAGAGTTTGGCATTCCAACAAAAGATAAGGAGGGAGAGAAATGAATGAGGAGGGCAGCCAAAGGCCTTTGTTCTATTTCAGAGTACAAGGCTGTTTCTGAGATTATACAGTACATAGCTTATGTATGTCAGATAGGAATGAGGGACTTGTTAACATGGCTTAAAGTAGTGTTTGTGTGGTAAATCTGCTCTGTCTGATGCAGTCATTGTAGTACTACCTTTTACATCTGCTAAAAGTTCACTGGTGTTGAGCCTCTCCATCTTCTCTTTCCATTCTTTAGAAAGGAGTGTCTCCATGCATGAAGATTCTAAAAAAAAGAAAAAAACAAATTTTATTATTTTAGATGCCTTTAAAAATGTTGAATATTGTGTATGTATAGTTTTTTTTTTTATGTAAATGTTATGAATTCATTAATGAAAATGAATCATGAAATATGAAAGAGAGGTCATTTATTTGAAGGCATTGCATGGCGAACATTAAAAGAGACTGTCTGTTGAGAGATGAGCTAAGGGTGGAGTGAGGAGGGGAGCGGTCATTGTGAGGATTGCGTATAAGGGCAGAGACACACATTAAGTGGGAGGCAAACAGTGAGACTGGGTACGTCCAAGCGTTCACATAGCTGCCAATGATGAAAACAATTAACATTTGTCCAGCAGACAATGAATCAGAGAAGGAATGGCTGCAATCTGCCATGCTGTCGCTGAGGTAGCTGATAAAGAACGCGCTGGGCCAGCCGACCCAGGCCTCCGCCATCCCTGCGCCACTTAGGGGTCAGCATGTTCCCATCAAACACCAGCCCCAGAAGAAAACCTCCATCCCTCCACCTTGAGCCACTGTCTCCACAAGGTACCTCCAATCTGAACCAGATCAAGACATGAACTGTCTAGTCGTGCTGTGGGTGAACATTTATCATATTGTCTTGATGAATACAAAACGCCTGTTGTCTGTTACCTATTTAAATCATCCTCAGGCTTCGTGTATTGCCTGAGGATGATATCATTTGTGAAACAGTGTTTCTCTAGATTGCAATGAAAAATGCAAAACAGACACTAATTATCACCACTAGGCCACAGGGCACAATCATGATTATTTTAATAGTGAATCATTTATAAACATAGTCCTGACAACAAAAGGACACAATTCATAAGCATGGTACCATTTTCAGATTGTGCATCTCTTCTGCTCAGCTGTCATGTGTTTTTGACGTGAACACAGAGAAACATGGAGAAGGATCTGTCGCATGATGTGATATTCTGGACTTTTCTATTTCCCTATAATCATCCTTGACACCAAACACAGAGGAGATGTATACACTGTAGAATGTATACAACTGTTGATTCCTTTTTATCCTGCTGTTACATCTCTTGCCCTCTGCTTCCACAAACCAAACACCGTTGCTCTTGCTGACAAACACACTGACTTCAGAGGAACTGGGAGTAACTCGGGGTCAGTAGTTCTTGTGGCCTTGTTTAAGGATGGCTTTCAGAGGGATCAAGCAGAGTGACCGTTTTGTTTGATTGTCCACTTCCTCCAATGTGATGGGGGTCGACAGGACATCTTCAGCTCAGGGTCATTATAACATTACTTCTGCTTTATTGACTTTCCAATTCCCAACTCACAGTTTGTCCCCTTGACCCTAAGTGAGGGAGAGAGAAAAGGCTGTTTGTGTGTTTGTGTGTGTGTCTTTGTGTGTGTTAACTCCCTCCATGACACAAAGATCACAGATCCTAAAACCGGGGGTTTAGGATAAGGGGGAGTAGCAGAGCTCAGCTCTTCTTCCCTGCGCCTCACCCCTGGGTGAGACAACTTCCTCTCCCGGAACAACAAACTCCTTTCACATCATAATCCTCAGAGAGACGGTGCATGACATTTTCTCCCCTAAAGCACAGAAAAAAGGCTTATTTTTAAAGTGGTGTAAAGGGGAATTAAACAAACACAGATAACATATGTTGATATGTACACATATGCTCCCACACTAACACACACACACACACTTTCATCACAGATGCTGCTCCAGCACTTGATCATTAAGGAATGCACCAACTGTTGGAGATAATATGGTGCCAGCTTCCATTCTACTCCAGTCCTCCCCCTCCCTTCCACCTCCCTCCCAGGAGAGCCGCCGCTCCCTCGATTCTCCATCCCCTCCGCTGGGCCAGACACGACCTGCCAAGTCCTCCAACAGGAGAGACTACAGCTGGAATGCACCGCTGTCCTCCCTGCCTTCCACCTGGGAGAGGTGAGTAATGACCTGGATTAGTCCATAAAATAACTCTCAAACACCTTTCAGTGTTCAAACATGGTGGACAAAACAGGCAACCAAAAATGGATTTGGTGAAAGCGGAGCAACTTGGACGCAGGCGCATTCAAGGCGAGCAGTAAATGAGTCAGATGTCTGGCTTTTTTCAAAGAGCCCTTCCACAGCTTCTTTTTCTGAAGAATTTAGATTAATAGGAAGAATGCTATTTCAGTTTCGAAAATGTCTGTCTGTTTTCTCTGGAGAAATTATAGATGCCAATGGAAACACTGGTTAGTATCAACATGATAATCACTGTCGGGTTATGACACACAGAATATCAGGTTGATGCACACTGTGTTCACCATAAAATAACTAATTATTTATTATCTAAAACAAATATTCACATGTCAGAGATTCCACCTAATATCAAGGGCTGGTACATATGAAAGTGAGAGGGAAAAGTTACACACTTGTCCTCTCTAAGTAGGACATCACATATACTGGGGAATTAGCTTAAACAAGAGAAGAGTCCAGTGAGTTTATTTTTATGTTCCTATGGGGGCTCTTAAATCTCTCGCACCCCTACCCCTCCCATTGCGTTCCCTCCCCCTCTCGAGATAAAATGCTGTGTGGCTGGGGAGCAGGCCATTCAGCTGGGATGAGAATGGAATGAAAACAATAGCCCTTATCAGGCTCTTATTTACATTTTCCCAGCGTCCCTGCAGTAGACAGCTTGGCTTGTCACCAAGCCCAGATCGCCCCACTGGACCCAGACCAACTTCCTCCAGCCTCAGCGATTCCAATGGTCCCTATGGACCCTAGCCTGGCACAGACCCCCTCCGCTCTGCAGCTAGCACAGATAGCAACATACAAGACAAAACTACTGGAGTGTGTGTCCAAGATGTGTTCCCATTGAGACAGGAATGGTCTCTGGACTACTAAGCCTGTCTGGGCCTCATTGTCTCTTCTCTGGGGCTGCTGCTATACAGCTGCAAAAATGCGCTGAACCCTGTCCTGAGATTTTTTTTCAGAGTTTTAACGTGGCACTCAGAAGAAACTGAATAGTCTTCGCGGATTCAATACTGCCAGATTTAATGTGTTTATCCTATCAGTGCTGTCATCTGTGGTATACAGCTTTCCTATGCAGGTATTCTGTGATCGTATTAATGTGGGCGAACAGGCAGAGGGATTGAGACACCTGAAGCCGAGATTAGTTTGCTAGATTAGGCTACAGCTGTTTTTTTTTTACCATATTAAAAACAAAGCTAATGATCCTCATAAATCTCAACAAAAGAATGTTTCTAGCTTGATGTGTGACATAAACAAAGCTTTCAGCACCTGGCAGTCATGGCTGCCAGAATATCATGTTCACTATAAACCACAGTAGTGAAGCTTAGAGGCAGGTTGCCACAAACTATCTGTCCTATCTGCACCGACTGACTCGCTGACAGTCTTGAAGGAAAATATGGAATTGTTATGATTTCTGCTCTTTGTCTGTTTCTCATACACAGTTCGCTCCCACAATCGGTATATCGTTGATGTTTTTAAAAAACCAATCATCTGAATTTATTCTTTAGTCCTCGCACTGTAAGAAAAAACACTTTTTTTAAATTAGTGCTTGTTGGCCGTTAATGCCTGTGGTCGAGAAGTGAAGGTAGGGGAGAAGTCGTTTGCTAATTTCAGTTTTTTTATTGCTGTTCTCACAATTCGAGGGATCATTGAAACTATAGAAAAGCTCAAATTGCCGAGTGACAAATAAACACACTTACAAACAAATCAAATTCTGTCACTTTGGAATTGGATTGTGCAGCAATAAAGCAGATCTTAAAATTTCATGATACTAATTTTCAAATGGCTCTCCATGGAGATATGAAGTCCAGCGTGTATATTAGAGATCACAAATAACACTTGCTCTGCTTGAGCAAATAACAGGCCATCTTCACATTTACAGATCACTGTTTTCAATCTCTAAAAGGTTTCATCTATCAGATTTGTTGAAGCCAGAAAACACCCATCATGTTTCAAAAGGCCGCGGCTGCTGCAAAGCACAAAAATGGTTTGTTACAACATGCAGCAGTGGGTGATTTATTACCCCTGTGTTGTCAGCAATGAAAATGTTTCAACTGTCTGCCACCACATTCTGAGCTTCCCTGTGTGCACTATTCTCCCGGGAGAAAGATGATACTTGTGTTTGAGTGTTTGTTGTGTTGAAAAGCCGTTGGCAGAGAAAAGAGGGCTATCTAGAAGAGTCAAATTAGCTATCAGTCATGGATAACACACTAAAAGACCTCCCCTTTAGCATTGGCCTTGTATATCAGTTATCTCAGCCTCAAGGGGAAACATGTAATTACCAAATCAATGATCAACTGACACTGACCATATACATAACATCCTCCTCAGAACACACATGCCTATATAGTGAAACAATACTATGTTCAGTGAGGGGCTGAGAAATAGAATAGTCTCTAAACAAGCTTCAGCTTGAGTTTAGCACATATCTTAAACTTTGGCATAATCCACTTTTCTTCAACCAGAACCAAAACATATACAGAGGATTCAATTTATGAGGACGATCTATGGCAAAACTACAGAATGCAGCATTTTAACGCATGGATAAATAAATTAAGAGTGACTCTGAGCAGTGACATGAAGTAAAACTTTCATTCGCACAAAACCCAACATGAATTGTATAAGACTAACCTGTCAGTAACAATCAATTCCTTAAACACTATAGACTATAGTGCACTATAGTCTTGTGTTGTTAACCCTAATCAAACAAGCTAAGTGTGTGAAATGAGCCAATATTACATATACAATCTGTTGGAAAATGGTGGGTAACAAAAATGTTTATCCAATATGATTTTCTACACATATAATGATAAATATGTTCATCAAAATACGTGAGAGCTAAAATAAAAACCTTTTCCCATTTGGGAATAAAAAATAAAATGAAGAAATAAAGTTGTGTTATTATAATACATTGATGATTGTTGCCTAGTGATGATAACTGTAATCTGCACATACTGTTCTACAATGAAAGCAACTGGATGAAATATCCTGTTATTTAG